AATACAGAAAGGTATCAATAACAAGCATTATGTATTTTTATGTTTATTACAGTATCACACTCTTATCTTAGTGGCAAAACATATCATGAACAATCGCGAGTCCAGTACTTTATAAGTGAGTTGCTGCCTATGTAGATTCTTCTAAATCAGTCACTTATGACGATCCCTATCAATTAGGATGTCGCCTTAGAAGGAAGCTGCCTAAGATCATAAGCTGTGAGATCATAATCACATATCTCACCTGTAGGGTAGGTCCTGAAGATCGACTCGATGATGTCAGAGGTCAGATTGTAGCGCAGGCCGTTGCAGCCATCTGTCTGCGGTCTGATGTCGGCCTGTAACCACAGTGACAACACAATCATGGTGTGAATTTACACTGTAAGTGCTCTCGTCAAACTGTCAGTCACGTGATGCATTTGAACTCACCAGGAAGGCAGCAGAAATGCCCACTTCCTGTTTGTTGTTGTTGGAGAGGGAGTGTTCCACAGTATTCAGGCTCAGCCGATTGGCCCAGAACTCCTCAGCGCTGATCACCTGACTCACCACTAAGTCCTTATAGAGCTGGAAGAGAACAGGGTCTTCCTGCAACATCCTGGAACACAAAACATCAGCTGGAGGTCAGCTAATACCAATACAGAGAGAGTCAGGTGTCCAGCTTGCCAAAATTATAGTCAAATATGTCAAGATTTAATGATGACAAATGAGATGTAATGAAAACGTCACCTGTTCTTCTCCTCCAGCTCTTTATTGGCTTTCTTCTTGAACTTGGGCAGGAGCTGCTGTAGGAGTTCTTTGGTGGCGTCTCTGTCCTTCAGTGCTGTGCTCCCATTAGCGAAATGAAAGGTGGTGCTTTCTCCCGTGTGCAGAAGCAGCTGAAGCTGGATCTTTGCCTTCCCATCAGGACTGATCTTCTGACCTGCATATGAGAATAATGACAGAAGATCGCATTACAAACTTTGATTCAAAGCAGAAGAATGTTTTATGTTTGATTTGAACACACACACACACACA